CACGTGAGTAATATTTGGTTGAATGTTTATAAAGATGAGCGAAACATGGGCTAAAGCTCGTGTTTCCATAGGAAATCGACTCAAGGGCTCACAAGCAGCAGTGTGCAGTCTTACAAAAAATGGATTGATTATAAAGGTTGAACCCCAACCTTAAGGGCCCCCACCGTCCCACTCCTGAAGTATCGTGAGGGAGATAAATTATAATCAGTCACGACTCACGTTGATAATAGTTATATAAATTAAGCAGTAATTGTAATATTATTACATAAACATGTTACATACAAAGACCCTCATTATTGAATATTGACCACGTGGCAGTCGCTAGGAAATAGCAAGAACCCACCTAAAAGCTCACACTCCACATCAGTTGCTTATTTGGCCTAATCAAGAACATCAAATAAAAGTGGTCGAAGTGATAATTTCACCTCAGTCAAAGAGGCATAGAGAGGCTGAACCTACATAACCAAAGTGACGTGCCACAATTTGTTGTAGTCAATTTTCTAAACGATAAGCATTTTTTCGACAACGTATCTTCTATAACTTCACCTCATTGAAGAGATCCTCTTACAAGATTTTTCATATGATTAATTGAGTTGACATCTCTACCACATACGTCTCTCGATCAATTTATCAGTCAACTTTTCAAATATTAGACATAGGCCATAAGATATCCACTTTTCAAAATCATTTATTGACAACTCAACCTAGGACTGTAGGTGACGTCTATGAGGATGACATGTCAACCATTGAGATGAAGCCCCATCTCATCCATCCAACAATAATTGCCTTCTCTCATCCATTATAAAAGCTCACACTCAGTGTCATTTATATGTAATGTAATTTTACACTCTCAATAATAACTTTTCGTGGTAGTCTCTTATCATACACATCCTCTTGGCTCACATCTAGTGTTCATCCCACATCCAAACATACATCTATATTGGACCGACTTGACCGTCGAAGTACCCCTTTTCGCCACCTTCGGAAAAGGCCACTTGCATCTAACAATTTGTCCAAGTATCCAAGAGTCTTACACGTGAACGTGAATGGAGCATAAATTAGTTATCACATTGCCCATTCGAAAACTGCTGTCAACAATTTCCAAAGAAATGGAAGGTCACACACAAAAAAAAAAAAAAAAAAGGGTTAATGAGATAGTTTTCTCTCATCACAGTTGAATAATAAGTAAATAATTATTTGAATAATTGCAGTTGAAATTCTAAACCGTCAACATAAACGTAATTAAGACTATTAATATCATTTCACATTATTTACGTTCATTTGTAACAAATTCTGAAATGTATGCCCATTATATGTTAGCATTATGTATGTAATATTAAAACAATAATATCATTGTTGTTTTAAGAGAAAACGTGTTTGACGCGTGTAACTTGTGTATGCAATAAGTCTATTATCAATGTTTCAAAATTTGTTGCAAATAAATGTTTTATTTAAATATTTATAGTAATTATATGTTAGAAATAATTAAATATTATGAGTGGTGTTGATCATAAACTAAAAAATTTAAGGATATAATGGAAAATCGAATGTTTCTCAACTATCATATTTTACACATATTAATGTAATATTGTATTTTGACGGTTTTTCCCCCCTACATATTGGACGCTATTGAATAATCAAGTAAGACTTCGTAAAATAGAGGATCATTTCCAATCATGTCATAGAATTTAAACAGATGTTAGCCATATATTGGCATTAAAATTGTAAAATTTACTTTTATTATTTTTTGTGAATAATATAAATTATATGAACCACTTGGCAAAATATTAAAGACAACCACAAGGATAGGGTTTGTTTGTCAATGAGTGACCTTAGGGTTATCCACTTCGCAAAAAACTACAGGTAAAAGAAGCAAATAAATTTCACGAAAGTTAAGTCATAGGATGAATACTATAAACATGCTCTCATCCTCCACTACCGTAGCAACTGCTTGTTTTGGCTGTCATATTGTTGTGCCTTCAAAATGTTACAATATAGTTTCATGTCCATTTCCTACATATTTTGCTCCCACAAAACCACCCAGAAAAACACTCATTTGTAGAAGCTCCGCCGGTGATTTGTCGGCTGAAAGCACAACAGAGGCCGAACAAGAATGGGAGACGCCGGTCGAAGTTCCAGAAGGGCCTCCATCTTTGATATCAGCCCTTAATGTCGAAAAGGCTATTCGTGGAATTGGTAAGTAATTAACATCGATCATCGAATATATTCATTTTCTGTTCCCTTTTTTGATTTGTTGAAGAAAATATTTGGGCTAATCTAAGTATTAGTTGGGGTTTAAATCTGACTACTCATTTAAACTTTACACGGATATATTTCTGGTTTGACTGTCGATATATACCACATTGAGTCTTGAGTTTTCTCCTTGAAATACCAATGTTGTTATAGGAGTAACCCGTTATTATTTTCGTCTCGCCTATACGTAACAGTAAAATCGTCACCACATCCGAAGCTTACGGTCGATTAATGAAGTATTCTTTAGAGTGCAGCAATTACTGATGCAGATCACTATGGAAGACTTGGGCTTCGAAGGGCGTGTTCATATGATGAGGTTCTTAAAATTCCGACATAATGAAGAAATAAAGGAAAAAAGGGTTTCCCGTTTTCATCCACCCAGTATTCATATCTTGCAGGTTACAGTTCAATACAAGAACAAGGTTGCAGAAGTGATGAATAAGGGTTTATCTGAAGAAGAGCTTGGCAAGGAGTTGGAGCTCTTAAGAGTTAAATCTCCATCGATTTTATTTTTTCTTCCTCCCGACTAAATATATTTTTAATAACGTAATTTTTTGTGGTCAGGAATCACATTCTATATTATCTTCAGTTGAGGAGAGAAGGCTTTATGATTGGAGTTTAGCAAGAAATCAGAAACCAGACAGATACATGTGGCCCTTTGAAGTTGACATAACTCAAACTCCTAAAGAAATTCCTCCTCCTCCGGTAAACAAATTAATTTTTTTACTGGGCCTGGCAGTAATTAAATTTTTAACTGATATATAGAATCATCTCTCAATGTTAGAGACAGTAATTGAGGATAAAGCTTGAGAAGTCATTTTCTTATTTCATTTTTTGAAAATATATTTTCTACTAGGTAAAATAATCTGGAAAGTTTAAGTGTTTTGGTCGACTTGATAATATTTATTTTGCAGGAACCAGAGGACGTTGGGCCAACCAGATTGGTGGGATATTTCATGCTTAGCTGGCTAATACTATCCTTCATACTGTTCATTGCCTTCAATCGATAAGGCAAACGATCATTTGTTGAAATTTGAATGTTTTATTTAAATATTTATAGTAATTATGTGTTAGAAATAATTAAATATTATGAGTGGTGTTGATCATAAACGAAAAAATTTAAGGATATAATGGAAAATCGAATGTTTCTCAACGATCATATTTTACACATATTAATGTAATATTGTACTTTGACGGTTTTTCCCCCCTACGTATTGGACGCTATTGAGTAATCAAGTAAGACTTCGTAAAATAGAGGATCATTTCCAATCATGTCATAGAATTTAAACAGATGTTAGCCATATATTGGCATTTTGATCATCAAAGCCATTACATGTGCAACATCATAGGCTTTGCCGTTCATCTGAAACTACGGCTCTTATTTGTTTTGACTATTAGCAGTGGCGAATCTAAGTGGTAGCGAGCTAAGGCGTTCGTCCTAGCTGGATCCGTCGAGAACGTTTTTTTTGTTGACAATAGTTGATAAACATTTTATATATATCTAGTAATTCGTATTTGTTCTAAGCATCTCTAGTCGCTCATTTGGTTAGAACCTTTACTTACAAAATTGGATTCAAGGTGCACGGTTCAAATCTCTTCCTATCCAAATTTATTGCATAATTTTTATAGTTCTTCAATTTTTACTAAAACTAATTCAGTAGAGAGGGGATTCAAACCTGTGACATATCATTAAGGTTTTTGAAAGCTTAACTACCATGGAACTCAATGAATTTTTATACTAAGCGTAACAAAATAATATATATTTTATTTTAGTTGTTTTAATTCAATTGAACGGTTTCGAACCTATGTTCTTTCCTTTGAATTATAGGAAACCCTGCCACTATATCATTTGGTGAAAACCATGACAACATGTAACAAAATAATAAATGTTCAATATTTTTCAAAATAATTATTATATTTAATTTTTAATAATTTATGATGGTCAACTGTTAACGTTCGCACATGCTCACTCAAAATTCTGGCTTTAAATCTGACTACTCATTTAAACTTTACACGGATATATTTCTGGTTTGACTGTCGATATATGCCACATTGAGTCTTGAGTTTTCTCCTTGAAATACGAATGTTGTTATAGGAGTAACCCGTTATTATTTTCGTCTCGCTTATACGTAACAGTAAAATCGTCACCACATCCGAAGCTTACGGTCGATTAATGAAGTATTCTTTAGAGTGCAGCAATTACTGATGCAGATCACTATGGGAGACTTGGGCTTCGAAGGGCGTGTTCATATGATGAGGTCCTTAAAATTTCAGCATAATGAAGAAATAAAGAAAAAAAGGGTTTCCCGTTTTCATCCACCCAGTGTTCATATCTTGCAGGTTACAGTTCAATACAAGAACAAGGTTGCAGAAGTGATGAATAAGGGTTTATCTGAAGAAGAGCTTGGCAAGGAGTTGGAGCTCTTAAGAGTTAAATCTCCATCGATTTTATTTTTTCTTCCTCCCGACTAAATATATTTTTAATAACGTAATTTTTTGTGGTCAGGAATCACATTCTATATTATCTTCAGTTGAGGAGAGAAGGCTTTATGATTGGAGTTTAGCAAGAAATCAGAAACCAGACAGATACATGTGGCCCTTTGAAGTTGACATAACTCAAACTCCTAAAGAAATTCCTCCTCCTCCGGTAAACAAATTAATTTTTTTACTGGGCCTGGCAGTAATTATATTTTTAACTGATATATAGAATCATCTCTCAATGTTAGAGACAGTAATTGAGGATAAAGCTTGAGAAGTCAATTTCTTATTTCATTTTTTGAAAATATATTTTCTACTAGGTAAAATAATCTGGAAAGTTTAAGTGTTTTGGTCGACTTGATAATATTTATTTTGCAGGAACCAGAGGACGTTGGGCCAACCAGATTGGTGGGATATTTCATGCTTAGCTGGCTAATACTATCCTTCATACTGTTCATTGCCTTCAATCGATAAGGCAAACGATCATTTGTTGAAATTTTCCACATAAATTGTTTTATTAAATTATACAGCTTCAATGGCTGAATGAATAGAATTGCTCTATATTTCCCACGTCGTTGTGCCAGGTCATTAATTTAACTTTTCCGTTTAAATAGTTTCCAAAGACTGTAACTTAAATCCTACATACCACACCACCAAATTGATACTAAGTACTTCTGATCATCAAAGCCATTACATGTGCAACATCATAGGCTTTGCCGTTCATCTGAAACTACGGCTCTTATTTGTTTTGACTATTAGCAGTGGCGAATCTAAGTGGTAGCGAGCTAAGGCGTTCGTCCTAGCTGGATCCATCGAGAACGTTTTTTTTGTTGACAATAGTTGATAAACATTTTATATATATCTAGTAATTCGTATTTGTTCTAAGCATCTCTAGTCGCTCATTTGGTTAGAACCTTTACTTACAAAATTGGATTCAAGGTGCACGGTTCAAATCTCTTCCTATCCAAATTTATTGCATAATTTTTATAGTTCTTCAATTTTTACTAAAACTAATTCAGTAGAGAGGGGATTCAAACCTGTGACATATCATTAAGGTTTTTGAAAGCTTAACTACCATGGAACTCAATGAATTTTTATACTAAGCGTAACAAAATAATATATATTTTATTTTAGTTGTTTTAATTCAATTGAACGGTTTCGAACCTATGTTCTTTCCTTTGAATTATAGGAACCCCTGCCACTATATCATTTGGTGAAAACCATGACAACATGTAACAAAATAATAAATGTTCAATATTTTTCAAAATAATTATTATATTTAATTTTTAATAATTTATGATGGTCAACTGTTAACGTTCGCACATGCTCACTCAAAATTCTGGAATCGCCACTGACTATTAGAACCTCTTCTACTTCTGGTCATGATATTCGTCTCTATAGTATTCCAATGAGCCAGCTTGAAGTCCTCTTCGACTTGCTAGGTTGTTTATTGTGGAAGCTAAAGCCTCTAAAGTCAGAAAGCACACTTCTTCAAGAAGTTCTTCTGTCTGATTACCACCCAAGTAATAGTAGGCATCACTCTCTCTCCTAAATAAAGCCAAACGACCCGTGAGGATGACCGCATTGATGACCGTGCATTCACATGGATGCGTGGATCCTACGTGAATAAAATAATGCTTGACCCCCCATGTGTATGTATGCATTGAATAAAATGTTCATTCTTCATCTCCTCATCGTAGCGCACATAGAAGAAGAATTAACTATAAGCTATAAGTGTTTTATCTTAAGTCGTGTAATTTTGAAAGTACCAATACGAATGGAATACCACACCACTTTAAGACAACATCTTTGATGTGACCTCCTAGAAATTGCTTTCTAATTCTCTGCTTATGTTTATATTATTTTAATTTGTTATATTAATTAATAATATACACACACACAACTCATCTTTTCCCAATAATCTTAAGTCGTGTGTTGTGATTTGTAGGTTACCCATATTAAACAGGTGGTGTTTTGCTTTTCTTCCGGTTTCTTATTCTTTTCTAAATCAAAATTCAATAGTTCCTTTACATAGCAATAACCTTATTGGATGCAAAGCTAAAGTGCTAAATCAAATTAGTCCACTTATATAACGTCTTGTATAGTTAATTCATGGAATATTTCTGCCTTCAACACACATGACATTAAGCATCCAGTAAGCCACAACTATCTATGATTTGATTTCAGAACAAAGTAGAACATTTTGGAAAAGCCATCGATCAGGTAAATTTAATACAATCATGAAATCCTAGATTAAAATGAAGACTATGGGATTATTTTATTTATACGGAGGCAACCTCGATACCTCAATTACTATTTATTTCTTTTCATGAATCTGTAATCTGAAGAGATAAATAGAGAAATTATTAGAACAAAAATTTACTGGATGACAAGTTTTTTTTCAATTGCAAAAAAGTGAAACTATTAATTATTTTTCAACTGAAAAAGGTTATTTAACATCTCAAATCTTAGGATTTGGGTATGTTAAAATTCTGATTAAATTAAAAAAAATTTCTTATTTTCTTTTCATTTCGTAGATTACCATTACGTTCTATTAAAATTTCCAACAACTAACAAAAAAATAATTCAAGTTAATTACTTTATTTTATTGAAAAAACAAAACTAAAAAGGTGGATGGAAACAGAGGATAGCGTACATAAATGGAGTTTAACCCTACATTGCCTACCCGATGCTCAAGCTTACTTGGATCTTTTTAGGGTTCAGAATTCTACGAAATTTTTACAGTATTTTCTAAACTTATTCAAGTACAACATAGTAAAATTTTAGAATTTCTTAACATCATTAAACACTTAAAATGGACACTCTAACATCGGTCAAAAGCTATTCCCGAGTACACTAAGCACAGCACTTAGAAAATGGCATAACTTATTTTGTCAATCTTCAAATAACTTGATTCTAAAGCCAATAGACAGAGGGCTCATAGGCTTTCATATCCCACTAGTCTCATTCAAAAATAAGCAAAGTGCAGTTTGAAGTGATAGTTTGAAAATAGGATAGAAAGCTAAAATTTCTATTTTACATATGCTAATGTGTCATACTAATATAATTTAATAAACCTTAATTTATAGAATTATATAAAAAAATCTAATTTTATGCCCAAATAAAATACAAATTCAATCTGATAATTTTTTTAAATTAAGAGTGAGCGTAAAGCCCCGTAAAACTTTCATATGTACATTTCCCTCCGAACAAATATACATATTCACATTTAAAACATAAAAATTTCATGCCATAGATATTTTCATGTATTTGAATTATCAATGAAATCCTTGGTTTCGAAGAATTCATAGAAATCGGTTATGGCCATAAAATTTTAACATTTAGTCTTCATAACTTACAGTTACATTATAAGCATAAAATATACATAGACGTTCATAAGACAAAATTAATTTGCATTGCCTACCTTGTTCATGTATAAAATGAGAAATTCTTTACATTGAATAATCAAACTTGTAGTAATATTTCATATAAATAATCAAACTTAGTAATTCTTTTAAACTATTGTTGCAATTTTTGCTAAGACAAATACTTGAAATTCAAACTATATTCTTGTATTCATAATTGTGTTCTAAGCTCTAAATTACTAACACAATTGTTCGATCTGTAAATGCAAATAGAAATGTCTGTCAAAATGACTTTCCTTTTCTACTACTTGAATTCTTCAATTTTAAATATCCTGCTTTCCCAGACATGTCCCATCAAATCAAATCAATCTTAATTATTAGCAACACTGAGTCAAAATTTATAAGGATATATATTATATATAAGGTTCTATAAACCTTGGGGATCTCATACAATGTGGAAGTAGAGATCCATTCACACACAATATGAACACTTGCTACAATGTTCTTTCTCTCTTAGAGCATATATTATATTGTTTTAAAATAAATATTAACTTATAGATCCTATAAATAATATTGTATACATCCTAGTTCACGTATTCTTCAATACCTAACTTGAGTTTTCCTTACTTTCATTGCTTTGGGCAATCTCAATCTAGCTACTAAATAGGTTCAATAAATAGTATAATCTGTTTCAATAACTTATTGTAATCTCATTTTGGTGCTTCATTAAGGCGATCGGACCTGAACATTACAAGATTAAACATTAATCACATTCTCAGCTTGTCCTAATGTCTTGGGCGACTACTTGTGTGAGAAATCAATCTCTACATATTTAACATTCATTTATTGTGTACAAATGCATAATATGTGCATAATGATACAAATCATCTAACGGTAATCTCTTAATAGATTACACATAAGACATGGACTCAAAATAGTTTTTTATGGGAATATCATATTCAACACAATTCTATGACATTCGACATGACCAACGTATTAGATGTCTTTAGATTATGATGTTATGTATTATTGTGTGGATTTATTATAAAGATGCTTTTTCTTTACTAATGTCTCCAAGTCTTCAAAATTTATTTATTGTGTACAAATGTACAATATTATATGTCCAATGATACAAATCATCTAATGGTAGTCTCTTCATAGATTACACAAAATACATGGATTCAAAATAGTTTTTTTTTTTTTATTGGAATAAGAAATTCGAGCAAGAGTTTTTAGATTCACAAAGTATTATATTCACCACAATTCTAGAAGATTCGACACAACCAACATATATTGTTGACCTATGGTTGACTTCACGTTTTGACTATAACAAACAAATTGCTTATATCGCTAACAATCACATTTGAGTGATTATAGAAATTGTGGCAAACTTAATCTATTAAAAATGAAATGGTCGCCTTTGGAATACTCGCAAAAATGAGCAATACAAGACGAGATAAAAGTTGAGCATATACGACAAAGCTTTCATATACATCTTTAGATGTTTTTAAATTATGATGTTACGTATTATCATGTGTAGATATATTCCAAAAGATACATTTTCTTTTCTATTAGTCTCTTACTAAAATATCATCAAGTGTTTAGTTCCATCATGATATTTGGAATCTTTTAACATATGTGAGATTTGCATATCTATAATCAATCTTTTATTTCGAGCTAGTATCATCATTAGATGCTCAATACATATATACTAAGTAATTTTTTGTGTTGCCAATATCTATATACAAGATCTCTTGCTACTCCAAAGATGCCATCCTAGGCAAGAGTGCATAAGTATAATAACTTTCTATGCTCGACTAGGTCTCTTAGTCAACATATGTATATGTTTTTCAATCACATTAATTCCTCGACAATAAATAAAATAACTGATAGCACCATTCAGGTACCACAACATCCTTTCTAAAAATAATATTGACACCTACCAACTAGATCCATGACATGACAAATGTTAGACAAGCATAATTTAATCTCCTAATCAGACTAGAATAGGGTACTTTTACATATTTCTTTGTTTGCTTATGGACTCCTTTGACATATACGAAGACTCAATTTTCACCTTTTAATATATGAATATCAATAGGATAGCCGTTCTCTAGTTAAATCTTTACACTACATATTATTCTCATGACAGAGCAAGGAGATTATAATAATCTTTTAGCTCAAAGTATATAATATGCTAAATCTATATCCTTCATTTCAAAGATTAAAGGTAATCATTTCTAAATTG